CCCCCAGTTAGCAGGGCGGGCCGCTTCGACACGTGCAGCAGGGCGGGGCGCCTAGCGAAGATGGTGGTGCGCGCGGCGTGTGGCTCCCGTCGTCTGCCCAAGTCTCAACTCTGCGCATTGGCCGGCGACTCGCTGGTCTGGAGCCCCCGCCCGCCGGGTCCCTGACCCCGCGCCCCGCCGCGCCCGATTCCCGGCATGCCCCGCGCCCGAAAAGGCAGCGCGCTGCGCAGAGGCGGCCAGCGCAGCGGAGGAGGTAAGTGGGGGGGGGCTCTGGGCAACTGAGGAACGTTGAGCTGGGGCCCTGTGTGGGTTCCCGTCGGTGTCCTTAAGAGTCCTGGGGTAGAGACTCCTGCCTCGACCAGTCTGGTGCCACCCGCAACTCTCCCCGTGACCTGCACATGCCCAAGGAGTCTGCGGACACGTGTGCGCCTAACTTGAGTGCGCCGACCGCTTGCTCGGAGTCCTCGCTCCCCGCCCGCACCTGGTCCGCACATCCCGGCCTTGGTTGGTTTCCTCATTGCCTCTCTACCCAAGTTGTCTGTTGTGATGGACAAACAGGCCAGACGGAGCAGGAAGCCAGCCCCCTCCCCAAGCCCTGATCCTTGCCTGGACTGAACTAGGAAGTTGGCCGGAGGCCTGGGCTATCCCGGAGAACTGAGAGAGGGGATGATGGGGAAGCTACAAAATTTGGGCCTTGACTACCTGGACCTAGAAGGTTGATGAGCGCCCAGGAGCCAGAGGCAGTCCAGAGAGTCGCTTATCAGGTCGACCAGAGGAGCATGTCCTGGTGCAGTAAACACATATGTTTACTCTGTAGGGATGGGGTGCCTCTTAGACACAGCTCAGACCTGGCCGCCACTTCAGTGGGGCTTGGGTGAGGGTGTTACTGAACCAAACGTGGGTCTGCTTGCCCCAGCAGTAAAGCCAATCTACTGATGAAACCGCAGAAATGCATTGGGGGTGGGGTGTGCGTGGCCCGAGTAGCTCCCGTTCGTTAGAGCAGAAAGAATTCAGGGAGAGGCAAAGTGATAGATAAGAAGTGACTTATTAGAGTAGGACACTTGAGAGGCTTACAGGGGGGTGGGTGAGAGGGTGCCATCTGGAGAACATGGTGAGCTATAGTTTTATAATCAAAGGAAGAATGGGGAGGGTGAGAAGACCACCTTCTTGCTCATTATTGAGGAGACATCAAGCTTCCATCATCAATTCCTTTTCCAAGTCGGTGGGGAGTTTTCTTGTTCCTACATGGTCAAACCAGGACTGTCATGGCGCAATGGAAATGAGCAAAAAGGCGGTAACATACACTAACATATGATAAATCATTTCAAGTTTTAGTATAATGTCACCGTTTCCTTATATGTTTGTTTTCAGTGCACGTATGTCCTAGGAATCATTAACCTGAGCTCACTGGGCAGGATGTGGGTCTCATTCCACCATTGTTTTGTTGTTTTGTGGCATGTCTCATGCTTCTGTTGCATGGTTTTGTGGTTAAGCAAACCTGCTTTCTTGAGTGACCATTAACTTACAGGGGTCTCCCATACTTTTTTCTTTACTTATAACCACTTACTGGGATTAACTGTTTAATCACCTACTTTGTCCTTTTACTCTGTCCGTATCATTCCTCCCTCCAGGTGTTTACCCTTTATGCTTAAAGGGGGGTAAGGGGTGACAACCTATCATTAACTACTTCTGCTG